AGTAAAGCTAAAGTGATCCTGTCATTACCACAGAGCAGACAACAAATTCACTAGATTTTCTTCTGTTAAATATATCAATGGCATGATGAGAAGAGGGGGATGTCTGGAAAGGACAGAGAACTTAGAGAAACAGTGATAATATTTGCAAAACTACAGGAAAAGTAATGTTATTTCAGAGATAGAAAGAGAAAAAAAACCTGTGGGTTGTTCTGAAAAAGAGGAGTGTTACTGATATGTAATTAATATCTGACTTGGGGCTCTGTTTAGCTCTTTCTTAATCCAGCAAAAATGTTCTCCTCTGTCCCAAAGTGCAGCCCCATCAGTCAGACCATGTAGCACTGCGGGTCAGGGCTCTGCACCCAGGGAGGCAAGAGGGAATGCAGGTGAGCTGTGCTGAGCCTCAGATCAGTGCAAATCAGAGCAAATCCCATCATTCATTCACTGCCAGAAATCACACTCCAGTACTCATGGCAGAATGGGAGGCAAAGGAATCATGGCAAGTGTTCCTGCGGTGATGGAGCATTCTCAGAATCACAGAATTATTTAGGTTGGAAAGGCTTTCTAAGATCACCAAATCCATTAAAAACACTACCAAACTCACCCCGACCATGTCCCCAGGTGCCACACAAACACCTTTTATAATCCCTCCACAGATGGTGACTCCACCACTGCCCTGGACAGCCTCTGTCATGGCTTGGCCACCCTTTCAGTGAAGAAATTGTCTTTAATATCCAATCTAAACCTTCCCCTTGAACAATCTGGGGGCATTTTCTCTTGTCCTATTGCTTATTCCCTGGGAATTCCCTGCTTATTCCCTGCCTGGCTCCTCCCTCCCTTCGGGGTGTTGTAGGGAGTGAGAAGGTGCCCCTTGGAGCCTCCCTTTTCTGCAGCCTGATCTCCTCCAGCTCCTTCAGCTGCTCCTCACCAAGCTTGTACTCCAGACCCTTCCCCAGCTCCATTGTCCTTCCCTGGACATGCTCCAGCCCCTCATTTCTGAATTTGGTGATCTTAAATGTGATATTTTCCAACCTTAACAATTCTTATTTTACTAATGTCTTTCTTGTAGCGAGGGGCCCTACCACCCAACAAAAAAGCACTGACAAAGCCACTATTCAAGAGCGTAGAAAGGAAAAGAAATCTTCTCTGACTTGGCAAACAGCTGTCAAGTGCATCTGCAGAGCATTTTCACCTTCTCTTCATGAGTGATGCTCGAACACATTAGTTAGTTCTTAGCCCCAAGTCTGCGTTTTGTCAAGCCCAGTTCTCACATGGGAACACACAGACACACACACACACACACACACACGTATGTCAGCACAAACTGAGATATTCCCACTGCAAATCCCCTTTGCTTAATGATTGCACAAATTTTACTCATTTCTAAACAAAGTCTCCTCTCTTTATTCAAAAATCACTCATTTCTAAATGGAAAAAAAAGAAAAAAAAGGCCGTTGATTTTTTTACCAAAAAAAAATCAGGTTTCAATTTTACAGGGAGTGTGAAGTACCCAATTCTGTTTGTTTTCACTTTTATTAAACACTGCATTTATTTGCAGCCCTTGTCTTACCCAGGCTGGTAAGTGACTGGAAAATCAAGAGTTTGCCTCTTCCAAGGCCATGTAACCCCTGACTGCAGACATTGCCAATACCCCAGCTTAGCACGGGGCTCCTTCTCTGGAATGAGGTGGGATGTCCTCATCTCTCCGGAGGAACAGCCACCAAGGGGACACCTGACATGGGTGCATCCTTGCACAGGGATATGGGGGGCTCCAGGGGAGTCCCCCAGGATGGAAGTGTCCTCAGCTGCCAACAGTTCCTCTGATGGAACCACAGACTTGGCTGTTGAGAGCATGGCTATGAAAAGATATATGCTAGAAGGTGCAAATAAAAAATATTTATTTTCAAAGCTGTGCTCTGATTTTTTTTCTCAGCTGTACAGGCACTTTCATAAAAACTGGAAACAAAAAGACCACTCATGTATGGAGCCACCTGGAAACAAAGGCAACAGAGAACTTGAAACAGAAAAGGAAATTGCTTTCCCCATGTTCTCATCATGGGACATTGGCAGGGGAGGCAGGGGGCTCCCTGCTATGATACAGCTTTTGTGTTCCCCTTTGTGCCAGCTGTGGGCTGTGAGCCAACATGCATCCCAAACCATGGGATTCTCTGAATCCACCCCCTTTTCCCACTGTGCTGCTTCTGCACAGCAGAAAGAGGACCTTGACCAATCACCTGATTGCTGGAGGTGACACCCAACCTTGTACACTAAAATCTCTGTTTCACCACAGCAAACATCAGGGGCTTTAAAACCTGATGGGAAAATATCATTAGTACTAATTTACTGGTGGTTAATTGGTACTTGAGGTCAAGGCTGCACCATCCCTCTTGGGGAAGCTGGGGTGGGAAAGAGCTGGTGTCCCCCCTTTGGCAGCCAAGCTGCCAAACACCTCATGGAGGCACCCAGAGATCTGGGGGAAATGCATTCAGTGTCTGCAGATTAAAGGCAGGGTGTCAGCAGGAGCGAGCAGGTGCTCTCAGCACGTGCAGCTCCTGTCCTGTGCCCAGCCAGCGCTGTGTCCTCAGCCCCAGAGCCCCACGGGCCCCCGGGCCCAGGTGGGGACAGCAATGGCAGGGACACGCACCCATTCCTGCCACAGTGCACTAACAGATCTGCCTGAAAACAAACTGCCTGTGGTTAGTGCAATGGAAAATATGCAAGAATGTTCTTTTCCCCAGTACACCCCTGCCCTGAGCCTGCTCCACAGCTGGTGCAGGGTTCCTCCTGTGCCCCACGCCCTGGGTCCCATCATCTATTTGTGTGCATCTCCATGAACAAGGAGATTTCATTACTCTTATTCCAACCATTAATACACATCACCTACGTCATGGTCCACTCCAAAACTCCCTTCAGGACCACCTTGATGCTGAGCAGATGTAGGAGAAGCCTTGTCCCCGATCAGTAAAGGCAAACTTCTCTAGTTTGGAGAATGCCGCTTTCCATTGTGGTCCAAGGTCACCCACAACAAGAGGGGTTCAATGTTAGAACCAGTACCACCAAGATGGCAGTTACTTTCCAGACTTAGGAAAAACAAAAATAATTTAAATATTGCATCATATAAGCAACCTGATTCTAGAGCATGGGCACTTTTATTCCTTCCCAAACCAGCCGTGCAGTGGAAGATGACAAAGCAAAGAGACCACCAAACAAATGTTTTCTACAGACACAGTTTATCTAGCCTTCATTGAAATAATCTGCTGTATCCCAGCACTGAATGCTGCAAATTGACAATGATTTCCATGTTTCCCCGACTTTCTGGCATGCATATGGAAGTGTGTTGCTATAAAGCATAGGCAAGAATTTCAGACTAATTAAAGGGATTTTATCTGGTTAAAATCATATCTTTTTTTTTTCTTTTGTAACAGACATCTCCTTGCCTGTGTGTTCAAATAGCATCTTAGATTATTAAAGTTTTACAAAGCTAATTTACATCATGCTGTTTGTTTTCTTCTGTTTCTTTTTGCATGTCTCCCTGTATAATCTAGTCAGCCCTACCTTTCTTCCCCAGAACTAGAAAGTGCAAATCAATGGCGTTTTCAGACTCTCTCGCCCGAAAGCAGGAGACAGGACGGATCAGTGGTTAGGGCACTAGACAGAAATGCGACTCCCTGCTGGCAGCATCCCGTGGGATCCCGGGCAAGGCGCTCACCCTCTCTTTGTCTCCATTCCCCATCTGTAAAACACCATCTTCCTAACTCACAGGGCTGTCCCAAAGCACACAACATTTCTTTTGAGTGAGGTAATGAGGTGCAGACATAGCTCGTAGCCACCTCTGTGCCTGCCACCACTGTTTATCAAAAAAAATGCTACAAAAGGATTGAGGGGAGCTGCCGAGTGTAATTGTAGGCAGGAATGAAGCTGTAGGTGAAACATCTGACTTTGAAGAAAGGAGATACATGAAAGTGTGCAAGGGCGCTTCAGTCCCTGGGGTGGAATGTAAATACAGCTTTCCCAGCACTCTGCTCCGAAATTGGAGTAACTTTATTCAGATATAAATACCGTGCTTTAAATAGCACAGCAGTGCCTTATCTGCTTATCTCGGCTATTAAGGAACCCTTTGTTTTCAGCAGATTGCCACTGGCCTGAGTGAAGAGCTTGTGACTCCTGTGGTGAGTATTAACCAGAACAGGATTCTGCACAGCAGCCAGGGATGCTTGTTTTTCCCTGGTGAAATCCTCACACATCGCAGACAGCCTGACCGGGTGTCTGGAGCTGCACAGAGGAAACGGTAGGGGTAGAAGAAGAAGAAGAAGAAGAAGAAGAAGAAGAAGAAGAAGAAGAAGAAGAAGAAGAAGAAGAAGGAGGAGGAGGACGCTCTTGTTCCCCTCTACATGCCAGCCTGACATCTTAGAGGTTATTTATGGCCTCAAAGACATGAAGCACCTTCCCAAAAGTCCCAAGTCATCCCTTAAAAAGAGCATCCTAAGGCAGCTGACCCACACAGGGTGGGCTGTGGATTCTCACATGTATGTCTCTCTGCCCTGCTCCCAGTGTAAAGCAGGCAGGTACCAGAGCATCAGAGACAAGTCCTGATCCCTCTCTCTGAGCTCTGCTGGAGGCTAAGGTGTCCCTAGTAAATCAATATTGTTACCTTATATTTTATAAGAAATCAAGCAAAGGCTCTGGAGCAGAATCTGTAAAACACTATTTAATTCAACCTGTTGTTCCCTCTGTCTTCTGTACTGTAAAATACTATAGGAAGAGACATGAAAGGATATTGATACAGAGTTTCCCATTTCAAACAGATACAATCCAACCCAGAGTCCAAGAGAATTTCCATCTAACAGATGATATAGGGCACCAGGTTAGCTCCTTCTCTGACAAAGGCAGCATCAGGCAGGGCTGGCCCTGCTGCAATTCTGGACGGACTAAAGGGGAAGGGAGCAGAGAAAACATTCACATCAGACCCCACAGGACTCACCTGGGAGAGCACCACCCAGGCAGGCAGGCAGGCTGGGCCCAGGCAACTCCAGCATGCAATGGCCCTGGTAAAACATGAATTGTAGTAACAGATTTTACAATGACTGAATTCCCAGAACTTGGCTGTGCTGGTAGGAGCCCAATGTACTGGCACATTGCAGGGAGTCAGGAGCTGCACTGCTCTTTGGGGCATGATGTTATATTCTCCACAGGCCCATTTAATTGGTTTTAAACCCTACACAAATACCAATGAACATGTTCACCAGAACTGCAGTGGATGCTGAGTTACACTAGTTCTTAATGTGAACTATTTGTTTTCTAAAGGTTACAGAGTGGTCAGATCTCCTATTTGTAACAGAACCCTTCAAAAAGAACCAAATTTATCTGTTTTCTCCTGGATACATAGGCTAGTAGCAATGATCTATCATTCAATTGCTAGCAAAATAAAAATACGCACCACTGTACACATATTGGTAACAGCAACACCTACAATTACTGGGAAAGCCCATTTGCCCTAGAAGATTAATTGATTGTAATTACATATATTTACCCAATTTCAGCTCATCACACCCCTGTCTATGCAGGGATCAGCAGCATTTTCATGAAGAGCCCTCTGGACATGGTGATCCGCATGGAGCATTGAATTGCCTTTGGGGAATGTAAGCACCAGGAACTGATCCATCCCATCAGTAACTGGTGACACTGGATGGCTCTCAGGATCAGCCCCTCTTTAGCCACCCTAGGCAAGGGAAGCCCAGCCAGGCACATCTGCAGAACCACATTCATCACCAGCATCCTCTGAGCCAGGATCAACCCCAGAGAATCACAGCAGTAAGTGCAGATCCCATGGACAATGCGGGATGTCAACCAAGTGGACACATCAAGATATATTTCAAAGCAGAAGGCAAATAATTAAAATCTTGTAAGTGCTCTAATACTTATTTCTGATAAAAGCTGCTATTTTTAACTGTGGCTACTCATTTATTCAGCAGGATGTTTGCTACAGCATGACCTTAGCCATGTAACCTATGTCCACATTTCTTCTCTGAATCAGGTTTCCAAGCTGCCCATACCTGGAATATTTTTTTTTTTTTTACTGAGGCTTCATGAAATATTAAGAGTTAAAAAGAAAATTAGAAAGCAAATATTTCCGTTACTGAGCACAAATAATTCCTTTCTTCTTGGCTCTGGCTTACAAGCACTTAAGGCAGAGATGGATAGACAGAGCAGGAGGTGACAGCCTTTCCAGGCCCACAGCTGCTTAGTGGGAACACACAGAGCACCAATGCAGAGCTGTACAAATACCAAGACAGTGCCGTTTTTGATTGCAGATTTTATATAAAGTGCTTTGGCTCCTGAAACAACTACTGGAAAAATACATGGAATCAAATTCAATCATCTGGGTAGAAATCCTATTGGAAATATAGAAATAAGCATATAAAGATAGAACTATGCAAATTACTGAAATGGTCTGCATGATTTCAAGGGTGCCAGGTGGTTCCCAAAGGCTGTTTTGCCTTTTAACCTGGTATTCCTCAGGGCAGCTCAGGGGTACCCACTGTCACACATGCCTCTGCCATGGCTCACCACTGAGAAATTCTATGACACCTCTTTGCCTCTTCCTTTGGGATCCTATAACCATCATTCCAGCATGTGTCACACACAGTGAGTATTACTACTAGTCATACTGTTATCCAGCTGTTTGCTTTGAGAGTTTTATTAGAAGGAAAATAAAATCATATTTCGCTTTATGGACATTTTTCTGTAACAAGACTTTTCCAGATGTTCCGCCCCTTGATGATGCAAGCCACAAAAGCATGTTTTATCATGACATAAATACAAAGCAAGATGAAAGTCATGGAAATGCCTGTGTGTTCTTTTCTTAACACAGATGTATTTGAATTGGGTTTTTTTGCATCTGTCAAGCATAAATCAAATGGGGGAAGACAATCCTTAGAAGTCATCCATTCCTTCACAGAATCAGTGTTCTCTGTCACAAATATTAGTCTTTGTCAAGAGTTGTTCTCCACTATGAACTTCCATTTCCCACATTCATGGAGAGGTTAAGTTAAATGTTATTAAATCATTTCCAAGCCTGGACTGGAAAGTTCTGAAAGTTGGTGAAAGCTGCTACATTTATTGATCTGCATTATGAAACATTAAGTAATGAGTACTGTGTAAGGGGGAGTGCATGGCATCTGTAATTCCTAATTTCTATTCCCAGCAGTCCCAAAGCATTAATGAGTGGCTGTGGCTAAATCACTGATCCGGGCATGAGGTTTTTTCCATATTTTCTGGAGACATGATAATTAATCATTAGTTTAGGTATTCATTAGGTATTATGAAACTTCCTAATCAGTGAATACGAATAATTATTCTGTTTAAACTTTTCGTTAGAGCCCTGGCAAGCAGGATATCGTATAAATGACAAACAGGCTGAAGTGATAAAAAGTGTTACTGTGTAAGCACAAAATGCAGCGGCACCAGGAGAAAGAGCAGCCAGTTTTTTCTGACGTTTCCCAGGCAGAGCACTGCTCTCAGCGAGCCCTCGGCTGCGCATTACCTATATCCTGTATGAATGAATCCCTTTTTTGTGTGGTTGCTCAAAGCCAATGTGTCCGTTTCTACAGAAGCACCCACAGGATCACTGAAAACCACATATTCAGTTCTTGTTAATGTCAGCAATGACGTACCAGAGCACATACTTGTTTGTCCTGTAGAAATAGAGGACTTCCACCGCTCGAGTGTGAGCCTGCTGCCGAACGCCTGTTCAAATAGAAAAGAAAAAAAAAAGAAGAAAAGAAGTTGTTGACATGAGAGGAAAAACCAGGTTTCCTGTTTGAACTCTGACAGGTACTGGAAGATATGAGTAACATCAAATCTTGGTCTGCTCTAAAGGCAGTCTGTGGTCAGGGGGTTCTCACATTTGTTTGTGTGGAACAGCTTTGAATTGTTTGCAGATACCGCGCAGAAGAAACTCAGAGATCCTTATCAGGGTACAGGGCCTGTTATGAAATGTGTGCGTTTGTGAGTAGGTTACAGGAGATCAAAACGGCTCCAGATGAGATGCCTCACATGCTGTAAATGTGGTAGATGCTCCCGAGATACCTCCAAAAATACCACTTTGCAGTGTTGTCGAGTACAGGCAGTGGCCACCCTTCTTTCCATTTGTCACTGTGTGGCAGGAGAATGGAGTTTTTTTTCCAGATCATTCTTTGGTTTTTGTGTGTACATGTCTGACTGTTCGAATTAAAAACTTTCCTTGGTTATGATTTTCACTAACAGAACTACTCAAATGGTTTCTGAGGGGGAAACCTGCAGCAAGGACAGACAAGGGAGATTCTCTATGAGTGGTACAGAATATTCTCCACAGAAAGGAAGGTGAATAGACCAGGATGGGGATGCAGCAAGGCAGAGCTCTTGGTGAGTCAACAGGACAGGACTAGACCACAGCAGCCAGCCCAGCTCTGAGAGGGGCTGGTGAGAATTGTACCATTTGTAAGAGACTTCCCAAAGAGCCCCGTCAAAGTGATCAGTCAAAACTGCAGCCAAAGCTCCATCTCCCTCACAGCACAGCCAAAGGGATACTTCTTCCTCCCATGTCAAAGATCAACCCCTAAACATTCCTCTTTCCTCACACCTTTGGGCAAAGTCTAACCAGCTGGCCAGACACTGTGCCAGGAGCTCAGCCATCCCTGGACCTGGAGCTCGCCCTCCAGCTCAGAGGGCCCTGCTTGTCCCATCCTTGTGACAAGCAGATCTCCAAGTCAGCATTCATATCTGTGCTCAAACACTTGCAATGCCTTCTTCTTTTGACCCCCCCAACACCACAGTACAGTGCCTTTGCATACAAATCACTAAGCCTCAGTTTCCCCTGACAATCTAATGTAAAACACGTCTTTCAAAAATTCAATTAAAAGGCCTCCCAGAGCCCTCCTAAGCCCAGGTCTATCAGAGAACACAGCTCGTTCAGAGCTTAACGAGTATTTTAGAGCTGCTTCAGCTCATTTGTTGAGATAAAGCTCTCCTCAAAACTGTGAATCACAAATTGATGGCACCAGAGCTCTTGTACCCCAAACTGAGCCCACACAGGAGCTTCAAACAAAACCAGAGGCAATTCTGCATACACCCCTGAGGAAGGGAACACGGTTCTCCAGGAGGGAGGAATTGTTCTTGGAGAACATTAACACCTTGATCCCTCATCAGGAAACCACCACGTCCCTTCCCCAAACCATTCAGCGATTCTATGATTTTGTTTTTATTTCATTTTTTCCAGCTCACATGTGTGAGGTGCTTCTACTACAGTCAGTGCCCAGAGAAAGCAGGCTTTCACTTTGCAGGCTGTAATACACATGGCAGTAAATTGAAAATCAAAACCATTGAATCAAGGAGCAGAACAATTCTGTAGAACAAGTCCAGCCAGTTGTGGCTCAATAACGGGATTTATCTGGGCTAGCCACAAATCCACTTAAGTTGCAAAAGCCTTTTTTGAGCTAGTTGTAGTAACTTCTAATAAGCTTGAAGCAGAAAAAAAGCTACAAGTTCCTTACAAACCTGATGCACAACTGAAACCCTCAGAGTACATAACTGGAGGATCAAAAACTCAGTAAATAATTATCCACTTAAAATAATGAGTACTCTGTTTTTCTTCGTTTCCAAGCTAGAACCCTACCAGATAAACTGATGATTTTCTACACTAATTTTTGTAAACTTAGTGGAGTAGGAGTTTTCCCCATGGTCCTGGATGGATTTTGCCAGCAGGGTTTTAAGTGCTGGTTCTGGCACAGAGGACACAAATGCAATATTAGCAGTATGTTCCCAATGGTCTCATACTGAAATTCCCCTGGTTAACTTAATACCTGTGTTAAGAGCTTTCATGAACCACAGCTATGAATCCTCCTGGAAACAAATCATTGACCATTTACTACTTATTTGATTATATCAGGATTAAGCCATTAATTACTTTGTAGTAATTCATAGCAGTGTCATTCCAAATGGACTAAAATAATTAAAAGTACATAAGATAAAACCCAAGAATGGGAAAAAGCCTGTAAAATCCTAACTAGAAGTAAAATTAAATTAATTCAGTATTACATGATGGCAATGAAAAATATTTTAAAATGGGAACCCTGGTACAGCACTTCAGCATTATGAATTTACAAGAGTGAAGAGTTTGTCTTAAATACTAATTCATGGCAAATTTTTAATAACTTTTGAGGTAAAACTCTTTGAAATAACACATTACAGATCTTTGTTCCTTTAAGTCTCCAAGTACTGATATGAATTATTACATTCAAAGTGCTGTCCCCATCTACTCATTCTTGTTTTAGCAAATAATGCCAGGTGTGCTCATAATCTTTGTATATTTTGAATATTAATGGTAAATCAGGAAGATAATCAAATAAACCCAAGAGGTAATCTTAATTCAATTGTTAAACATAATTTCTGTTCATTACGTTCTTTTAGTACCATTTTGATAAGGAATTTTCCCTTTTTAACTCTTCATGTTTAAATGCTGCTACCAAATATTTTCTTATTTGAATAAAATAATTATTAAAGTCCTCTTCATCTTACTTAAATTTCTTCTTTTCAACACCTCCTTTTATTTTGGATTTTGAGACAGTCAATAAGGTGCCAAAAGAACTCTGTATACGCTGAGCAGAAGCTTTATTTCTTAAATCTAGGCTTTCCTGGTAACAAACGCACAATACAGTCCTGCTCTGAAAATCCCACTGTATCACTCAAATTCCAGCTCTCAATACTGCTACACACTGTATGTGCCTCCAGCTCTGAATTAATATTTATTCATCACCAATATTATCTGATTTTATGTTATCAAATACAGCATGCAGAGGCTGAGAAATGAAATAGTTTATTGGCGTATTAAAACAAAAAGAAAAATTTAAAAACATATTTTTAACAAAGCAGCTCATTTTCAAAGTGCCAAAATCTTTTTGTCTTTTTCATTCCTTTTTTTTTAATTCTATACTTTCAGAATATCTAACCACAAGCATTTGAGCAAACTAGAGAAAAGAAACTGTTGGTAATGTTCTGCACGTTTCAAAAGGCAGCAGGATATACACACAGTTTATGTTTCTATCTATAGAGAGCTGCAGGCAAACATACAGTGGAACAAAGATAGACATCAAGATATATTTGTACCTGCTGCTTGTGTGCCTGCATGGAGATAGATCTTAATGAGATAAGTAAACAATGGAAACTTTTAAAATTCATAATTTGAGTGTGCTCAGCTCTGTATTTCTCTCTTACCTCTTCAGTAATAATTTTTTGTGTGCTTTCCATGAATTACAGCCAATCTCAAATCATCCAGCACTGCTGGGAGAGCAGCTCTGGGCCTGCCTTTGACCTGCACCAAAGCACAACCAAACATATAAAAGTGAAATAATTGTCTTTAATTCAAATATTTCTTTGGTGTTCTAGCAGAAAACAATTTCTGAACCCCTGAGTGAAGCAGTTGCAACGTGGAAGGTCCTGAGCAGAATTCACTGGAGCACTTCACATCTTGCTGCTTGTCCCCATGGCTTTGTCTGCCCAAAGGACAGGTGGGGTTTGTACCAACACCCAGAGCCCGGCTGAACCTGCAGGGAGCTCACTCTGACCCAGCCAATGCTTTATTTCTAGTTTAGAAAACACTGAGCACATGTCTGGGGGGAAAAAGAGACTCCAGAATCAGCTAGTGGGAATGAGCAAAGCCCCGGGGGCTCAGCAGGACTGTGATAACTCACAAACTCACACAGGGTTCAGTCCAGCCACAGGAACTGATCCACAAGCTGATGAAATCCATGTGCTCGTTGGTTGCTATAGGACACGTGAAAGTATAACGCGAGCTACTGTTCTTTGTAAGGTAAAGAAGAAGGTTGATTTTTTGACTCTAACTTTTATATTTTTCTAAAGGTTGACAGTGGATTGGAGAGTGAATGTGTCACCTCTCCAAAGACATTGGACACACTACTAGTATATCAAGTTTCTTTACCTCTATGAAGGAATGTAAAACAATATGTTGTTTATAGAAAATTGTGTGAGAAAGTTTTTGAACAGAATGTAAACTCAGAAGGTTTTAGGAAATCTTAAGAATCAGGGTGACATCGTTTCCCAGCACTGCTGGAAGAGCCATTCAGTTGTCCACAGAAATCAACTCCTGCTAGCAAACAGAAAAGCAATTTGCTCTTTTTTTAAATTAAGCTTTCTTTTCCCTTTTACTGGCAAGGAAGCAAAGGATATTAAAAAATTATTTAAGAGACCATGCATTATTTTGTAATAGCTATGACATTGTGCTCAAAGCTCCATCCCTGGCAATCCTGTGTTAAATATTCATCCCAATATTTAAGCAATTCCAAAGGGGATATACATTTCTTTGCAATCAAACTTTAAAAATTAATTAAGTGAAATGACCAAATCCAGTAAAATCCAGATGATGACTGACTAACTTTGCTATCTTACAGAAGTCAAGTGGCTTCAAGAATCTTCTCTCCTCATGGTTAATAGAGTTCGGTTGTAAATTTATAGTTTCTTTCTTGGTCTTGGTAAAAAATAATTTAATTTGTGTGTAAAACCAGAATGTGAAACAAAAATTAAATAACAGGCTGAAGGCTTTCCTGAATTTATCATTTCATTCTCCAGTAAACCTCTTCCCGGTGCCCAAAAAAAAAGGAAGAACTGTGTAGCAGTAGGTGTGGGAAAGAACAAAAAAAGGGTATTCTTGGAGAACACCAAAAAAGGGCATGTGAATTGAAATAGTGTAAAAT